CTCTCTCTCTCTCTCTCTCTCTCTCTCTCTCTCTATATGGAGAGCTCTCTCTCCACCACTACATGCCCTTTGTAGCAATGCTTGTCCTCTCCAATTTTGACAAAAACGGAAGCCAAAAACTACAAAAATCGATTGCTCGCAGCATTATCATAGTTTGAGCTCCGTTGTGGTTGGGTTTTGTTGAGAGTCGCCAGAGTTCCAGGTATGGTTTCTGAGGACCATGAAGAATTTCTTTCCTCGAAATGGAAAAGTATGCTACTTCGTGACTTTTCTGTTCTGTAAACTCATTTATCTTGCGAGGGTTGTTTTGTTTCAATCTCTGAGTTTTCATGAGATATCCCCCATGATTATTGAGATTTGTTTATCAATGGCTTTTTTTTCCCAGTTTATGTGATTTGTGATTGTGTTTAGGAGAAACCCTGTGATTTGTGGCTTCTTAGTTAGATTTTTTTCGGGTTTTCCTGTTATTATAGCTCTATCTATCTCTATGATACTTTTTTTGGGGATTTCTTTCCTGATGATCTGTGAGATCTGTAATGTTTTTGGGTCAATGATGTGTTTCGTGTGTGCTTTTTGTCTGGACTTCTCCCTAATATACAGTTTTTAATGGTTTTTGCGGTACTGTCAAATCAGCGGTTTGGGATTATTTGTCTATGAAATCTCTGATTTTGTAAATCCAAAGATACGTTCTTGTATTTGTGGAAGCAGCTGATTTTTTTATCGCTTGAACTACCATTGTGACATCAGTTGTTTACCTTGGAGTGCCCTGGTCGTGATTTCTCCAGTACTTTGCTGGTGTTTTTTTATATGGTTATACCTGGTTATGGTTGAAAACAAATCTTTTCATATTCAAGTGGTGTTTCTTAGCTGGTGTTAAAGATTATTGCTGGGGTTTCTTTTATGGAATTTCAGCTGGATTAGCTCTGCCTCGCGCTTTCCTTGTCCATCATTCATTAAGCGTTTTTCTAATTTCTTCAAAATATTCATTTTTTGATCAATACAGAAGAAATGCTTTGAACATGTTAAGACTCCTTGTTATATTTTGATTTTTTACTTAATATGTTGGTTTTGAGTTCAGATTGATGTCTTCAAATTGGTTGGGTTTCCTGCACTACAAATAGTGATAAAAAAGGTGCCTCTGAATTTGGTACAATGTAGTTGCCTCTTATTAATTTTTTTGCTAGTCTTTATGCATTTGAAAATTGTCTTGGGTTAACAATGAAGGTTTGGTGTGATTTTAGCTCCATTTGATATTTATGCTTTCTCTCTGATTCTTTGTTCATTACAGTTCTTATCATTTTGATATTTATTTTCGTTATATGAAGTTCAAATTTTTGGCAATAGTATAAACTATGAACCAATGGTGTGGTATAACTCATTTACAGAGATGTACATGGTGATATGTAATGGGTTCTCTTCACGGATGGATATCACAATTTTGTAAAAATTCCATCATCTCTTGATTGGTGCTGGGAAAAGAGCTAGCAATACTTTACCAGATGCAGGAGTGAATCCTGTTTAGACTCGTGGAGCTCGAGCTCTTTTGTTTACCAACTAGGTTGAAGTCTATTGTGCACAGATTTTATTCTTCAGAATATTCAATGGGGAATTCATTTTCAAGCAAAAGACATGATTTCTCTATTCAATTCTTCTTGCTCTTCATAAAATCAGTCAATTGATTGGCATCTGCCGACTTGAAGGTTTTGATTGATTTCAATGAGTTCATAAAGCTGAATGTTTATATTAGTCAATTATATGATTATATATAGACCATTAGGTATCAATTTGGAGATCAGGTGGTGCTAGGGAATTCTCCATGGTGTCATGAATCATTGAACTTTCATTGTAAGAGATAGCAATTGGTTGTAATTTGTATATAAAGAACTGTATGGGATGTTGTTGGTCAGAAGTTAATGCTAGTGTGTAACTTTGACAATCAAAAGAAAATATTGTGCAAATTACTTTTTGCAGACCGTTTGATAGTGAATGGTTGCTTTTGTTATTGTTGTGCCACCATCTTGTTTCTCTGTATATCTGTAAACTTTGTTACTCTGGAATCTTTAATATATCAGATGATGGGCTTTCGGCTTGTATTATACGAAAACTAACAAATAATCACCTACTTGCAAATTATAAGTAAATTAATAAGGCTAAACAATACATGTATAGTAAAATTTTGATTTTAAAATGATAAAAAAAAATAAGATCTAAAATGTCTAATTTGTTTATTATACTGTGAAGTGCAATTTTGGACTTCATGAAAATTTTATATTTAACTGCTTCACTCTTTAGTGAGATGTATTATGGATAGTGATGTAATTTTGGAATAACTTATGGATCGTGGAGAGAGAGAGAGAGAGAGAGAAAGAGAGAGAGAGAGAGAGAGAGAGAGAGAGAGAGAGAGAGAGAGAGAGAGAGAGAGAGAGTAGTAGTACGTAAGTAGTAAGTAGTAACGTAAGTAACGTAACGTATAAGTACGTAAGTTAACGTACGTAGTACGTAGTACGTACTACGTTTACTACTTAC